CTGAACAATCACAATATTTTTTTTTTTTGTATAGAAAACTTGTTTATTTGGAAATATATCCTCATGAAATTAGGCATAGATCATTGTCCAAGGGAACGCTGCATTCTTCGATAAAATTGGTCAGATCGGACTACTGTAACATATAGCTGTCATACAAACTGACCGATAAAAATCAAGTTCTTATAAGGAAAACTTTTTTAGTTGGCAAGATATCTTCACGAAATTTGACATGCATTTTGCCTTTAAAGGGTATTATAGCTTCGCTACGCAGTTAACGTTTTCCCCCTTCTTTTTGAGTTATTTTTTTTAGTTTTGTTTTTGCATAATATATTTTTAATATATTATTTCTTTGCACGACTTTATTATGAAACAGTTTAATTAGATGATGTGCTTCGAAGCATTTCTTTATTACCTATTATACTACTATGAGCAAAAAGTAGTAAGACTTTGTTCATAATTTTGAAATTCGTAATTTATTCTCCATCTCTCATCTGCAATCTACTGAAAACAGTTGTTAAAGTCAATTTCCGGAATAGCCTCCGATGCGCGTAGCGATTTACGTTTAATGTCTTCAATTGACTGCAAACAATTTGCCCGAAGCGGTACTTTGAGTTTGCTGAATAGCCAGAAGTCACACGTAGCTAAAACAGGCGAATCTGGAGGTTACGGCACGATATTGGTTGAAAATTCAACGAAGAACTCACGAAGAATCAATGGAGTATGAGACGGTGCTTTATCTAAGTGCTAAAATCAATAGTTGTTGGCCCATAATTTCGCCCTATGTTTACGAATAGCTTCGCGCAAACTACACATAAAACTCAAACAATATTCCTTGTTGACAGTTTGGTCGGTCGGAATGAATTCGGAGTGCACCACAACTCGATAATCGATGAAAACTATCAACGTAACCCTGATTTTTGATCTGCTTTGACATGATTTTTTCGGATTCCGCTCATCTTTGCCACAATATTCGGTCGACTGATTGTCTGTTGCCATGTCATAAGTATAGATCCAAGGGTCATCGCCAGTAATAATAGGTTTCATGACATCCTTGTAGTCGGAAAGCATTGTTTCACAAACGTTAACGCGACCCTCTGTTTCGAAAAAATTTGAAACCAATTATGCTTTCACTTTAATTAGGTCTCTATACGAGTATAAAAGTGATTTTCACTCAATTTAACGTATACACTCACAAGTATTTATTTTATACTTGAGTTTTTGTTTACCTATAAATAATTATCGGTAATAATTACATTTCTTCTCTCCACATAAGTGCTGTCGTCTTCGATAAAGTAAACATCTTCGAACACAATGTTGCACTACTTCAAATGCTTTCCGTTGGATATATACAATTTCAAGGAAACTATTTCTTTAGGTTACAAATCCTAGTCGTCGGTTTGTAGTTAAATCGCAAAATCGTACATATATATAGCTTTTAGATTTTGTCTTCAAATTTATTTTAAGCATTTCCCTGAAAGTTGTGTCGTTGTTATTTAACTTTAATACAAATAGCTTTTCTTTCACATAGTCAGCATGACTAATTGTAGAGTAGCACAAATATTGACTTGTCCCAATAAGTCTCCACAATTCTTAATAAATAAAGTCTTATCAGTTCATATGCAATATTCAAAACGTGCATACTTCAACTATAACGTTCACCACAAACTACAACAACCCAGTAGTAAATTGAGTTCTGCAAAAAAACAATATTAGAATGTAATTCATTGGAAAAGAAAGATAATATAATAAAAAATGCAAGCAAAAATAATGCACTGATTTGGTTAAATGAAGCTTAAAGTCTCACCTTTCAAACATCATATGGTATAATACAATGTCTCACAAGTATTGACAAAATACGGAAAGAATTTTTCGACTACCCAATATTTTATGTCTTTTACAACGAGCTTCATCCTAATATTAGTTATTTCACTTTTTACCATTCCCAATGTTTTCAGTTTTGATCTATGTGGATGGTTTAGCAATCGAGGTTTTTAAGAAATTTCAACGATAGTTAAATACATTCACAAAATAACAATATGTGGGAAAATCGATTGTTTTGACAGTTCACGATACATCTGAAATATAAACACTGACTTGTGTTTAACAAATTGTCGCAAACACCAGTTCTTCATAAACACCTTCAACCTTAAACTCTAGTTTATGAATGAATTATATCCTGCTGTTCCTCTGAAGCATTTAATATGGCTTTATTTCAATTACATACAACATAATTTGTGTGAAATATACAAAATGTATTTATGCTACTGTTTATGCAAATGGGTAAAACACCCCACAATATTACACAAAAAAACCGCAGGCAATTGCAACACATGCATATATTTAAAATAAATATTCATATGTATGTCATTTACACGCCAACTATTACCGATAGCAGCTACCTAAACATGTCTAAATACATACATTGTAGTATATAAATATATATGCATGTCATTTGCAAAAAAAAAAAAATAAATAAATAAATAAATAAAATGACTAAAACAAAGCACGTGCACTTGGTCGTCGGCTTATATTGAAATTCAAAATACCAATGGAAAAACTATCAACCACTCATTCATTCGCTAGATTTGCTCGATTTAAATATATTTATGAGTAGGAGTGGATGCAAAAATGCCAGTGTCGATGAACGGCACTCCGATGTGTGCTATATAGGCATTTTGCCCTTTGATGAACTACGCCTTAACCCATATCGTAAGGCTCTGAAAATTAAAAACAATATCTGCTTCCTTAATGGCGTAGACACCTGTTACGTGGTTACAAGTGCGCCAGTTGTTCGTACGACTTAAAATTCCAAAAAATTGAAATATATACATATATTTATAAATGAGAAAAAAATAATTTACTATATGTACATATACTATATAATAAGATATAAAAAGTTTCTCATATTTTGCCAATGAATGATTTTGATCATAAATTTGTTGCCTACATTCAGGCTGACTATGAAAGAAAATAGTTTATTTTTACATTAACTAATTACCTTTTTA